ATACAAGTAAATACAAGTAGGACTTCCATTCTTTTGATTTCGATACCGAGTACTTTGGCAATTGATTGGTTCTTTCGAAACAAATACTTGTATCGAAATAAAGTACTCGTATCGAATCGAATTATCAAAAGTGTAAACACTGCCCAAAGCCACAGAACATATATTTATGAAGATATGGGATATTTTGTGAAGTCTATTGAAGAACTTGAGTTGGATATCTCACAGCCATCAACATCTAGCGGTTCTAAATTAGAAAACATGTTGGAATTAAAAAGTTTTTTTGATGCTAGTACGGATAGTAACATACCTCCACAAAGGACTTTAGAAGACGCATTTTTACAAGTTTCGGCCAATAAGGAAAATAAATTATTTCTAGTACTTTTTCTTTATTGAATATATTAGATATATCTATTTTGGAGGGAGGTTCAAAATACAACAAAATAGTGCAGGCTTTAGCGTTTTTTGTTTGCAATTATTGCGTTCCTACATTGTGGAAGGAGAAGGATTTTTACGCCTTCAGAACGTGCTTCAACCTAATTTTAAGGTACCTACTTAGTGCAGCTTATTTAAAAAAGATGACCTACAAAAAATATGAAGCTTGTGTAGCTATAGCTAAAGCTAAATTTTGTCAAAGATTAACAATATTTGTATCAGATTGGACATTTGGACTGAAACAATGAACGAGCGAGGTTTCTTAGGTGTGACATGTCATTTTCTTCAAAACAGTAAAATGCATATGCTCTATCTAGCTATTCGTACGCTCAATGAAATATTTGCCCTGTTTGGCTCACACAATAAATCACATCGTTGAAGAGGCTTTAAAATGGCCAAATCTGAAAACAGCTAAATCTAAGGTTCGTGAAATTGTGCGTTGAATAAAAAAGATACGTATTAATGGTTCTGAATAGTCTGTTTTAAAACTTATTGCCGATATCAAAACAATATGGAACTGAATAATATCTTTGAAAAGTGACCCATTGGGAGACATGCAAACGGTATTTCCTAACTTTTATAAGTGAATATCTATTTCCTAAAGCTGGTGCTGCTATGACCCACAATAGAAAAAGCTTGTCCCCTAAATATTTGCAGCAACTGATTTTTTGGGAGTCAATCAATATCGAGTCAGTCGATAAAATTGTGAGCAGGTAATGGTTTCGATACTCTCAGAATACTGATATGAGCAGTATTGCAAGGCGATTTGGTTACTACTCATTTGAGTAAGTATCGATACTTTCTCAGTATCGTATCGTCCCTGCGCTTGATGGATTCGTCATTTCAAGAAATATCAACGGGCCGCAAATCAGTTCCACAAATAACGTTTAAGAATATGAAACGAGCGGTACGCACACATAAATCAATACAATGGACGTTTATTAGACGGTGACCATAATGAGTCCGTGTCAATATTTGGACAACGAGTTAGGACGTTTGTCCGCGATGCTCGAGCAAATATTTCAGAAAGCATTTAACGCGTTTCGCTTTTCTGTTTTCAAGCCGCAAATCAATATCGGGACGTCTTCAATCGGGCTCTTTCCGTTCTCGTGTTTGTCCTCTCGTTATTGCTTCAACTTTACACCATTTTATTCTCAACAATGCATCCATAATTCCCGTAATGAGGACCGCATTATGGGGGAGTAGGAGAATTCAAGCCGCTAACAACCGGCAGGTTTTAAGTTCAGCCAGTAATAATTGTAAATGCAAACATGTTCATTTCAAAAATCAAAAATCGCTGATACTCAGATCATAGAGACACCACAACGCGCTATTCGTGATAAAAGTGTGCATGTTGAGCAAAATTTCCGCTGCAATTTCGCTGTATGTGTGTAAAGTCTTCGGAAACCCCATTAAACTTAATATAGATTGAAACAATCTAAATAAAACCCATACAAAAATAAACCTGGAAGGCAATATGGAATTTTATTACTTGAGACGCAGTCTGTGGCAGGAGCCCGTTTTTCACATTCCTAAAAATAGTGCCGATAGTCTGGAAATAGATTACGGATCAGAGGCGTCGCTTCCACATATGACAGATTCGGTCCACATCATGCCCTGGGCACTCTCACTTAAAAACCTAACCGAGAACGACTGATTTCATAGTCGCCAGAGGCGCTACAGACGATAAAGAGCTACAGATTAAATCA